AACTGATTGCCCTTTATCTATTTGATATTTTGGGGCCCTGGAGCCAGTCCGTGAGCTTCCCTACTTGCTATTTCAAGTTGTGTCAATCTCCTCAGCCCTGTGATTTTGGAGCTCTTTCTGGAAGGTATAAAGAGGGAGAGGAGATGATGATTTAAATGCCTTAGAACTTCTGACATTGTTCACTTTTCTTCTGTTGTAATTCTCACTGCCTGTTGGGATTTTGTGTCTGAATGCTTCAATGGTTTAGATCTAAAATGCTTCCCTGAACCTGCAGGTGCTTGTAGGTGGGGATTTTGGAAGGTGATTGGGTTGTGGGTTACCACAGCTGGCTTTCTGATAGGAGGTAGGAACTGTCCCGAGGCTTGTCTGGGGGTGTGTTCTGGAAGGAAGTATTTTTCTCCTTGGCTCTGCACTTCCTGCTCTGCTTTCCCCTGCCCTGGCTCTTCCATCATGTTAATTCTGCCATGGAGCCAGTTGGCTGTGGACTGAAAATGTGAATCAAAATAAACCTCTCCTCCTTTAAGGTGTGGGCGATTGGGTGTTGCATGTCAGAGTCCAGGAAGGTGACTTAAGACAGGCCTGTTTCAGCAGGGAACTTTGCCTGTCTAACTTCTTGTTCTCTGACTTAAGTCTTAGTTTTGTCTTAAGCTCCAGTGACATGACTGGAGGAATTCTAAGAACAGCTGTTTAGCTTAATTTTCTTAAAATAAGATATTCTTACTGCTCTTTGAGATGCAACTCTGTGTCTCTGTTAATTCCTTTGTTCATACATTCACTTATTTAACTAATATGGATTAGCCACCTTACTAGTCCTTTTGGCACAGTATCTGGAATTAGTAAATTAATATACAGTATATTGGATGGTAATGCATTCTTTGGAGAAAAATGAAACTGTAATAGAGTAAGATGTGTTAGTGAGGGGGGTGTACAGGTTTGTAATAAGGGAAGGCCCCAGTAATAAGGTAGTATTTGAACACTTAGCACTTGGAGACCTTGGAAAAGAACATCCTGGGAAACTGAACAGAGAGTATAAACGCCTGGACAAAGTCCATTGAAAATGCTTGAGGATCATGGTGGAGGTCTGTGTGGATAATGTAGAATAAAAAGGGAAAGGGAGAGGTTGAGGCTGTTGTCAGAGTGAGGAATGCAGATTTAAAGACTAGCTTTTGCTAAGTAACATGAGAATGTACCAGCAAGTTTTTATCAGAGGTGATAAATGATTGCTATATTTAGAGTATTGATTTGTCTGTTAGAAGGTAAATGGTAGGGAGAAAAGAAAGGAAGCCATTTAGATGGTCTTTCTAAGAGTAAGTTGGCATCTTGGATATGAGTCACAGTAGGGATAGATGGCTGGATTCTGGACATACTGAGAATGTTGAGACAATAGCATGTGCCAATGGCTTGGATGTGGTAAGAGAAAACAATGGTCGAGGAGGATGTCAAGTTTTTTGACCCAAGCAGTTAAAAGAATGAACATGTTTACTAAGATATCATAGAAAAACTACTTTTCAGAATTTGGGTAGAAAACACAAAGTTGTTTTGAGCATGTAGACTTCCAAGGTGCCAAGTGGGGAGTTTGATATAAAAATATAGAGTCCATGGAAAACGTTAAAGCTGAAGATATACTTTTGGAATATGCCAGTATGTGTCCCTGTGAATAGGCATGAGGCTGACTGAAGTCATCAAGGAAGTGTGCAGAGAGGAAAAAAGTCTGAAGTCTAAGCCATGGAAATGTTCAACATCTAGAGTGTGTGGAAAGAAGACCAAGGAAGGCACAGGAGAGGCAGGACCCAGGGATAGCAGAAGACACACGAGGAATGTAGCCCAAAGCCAATGAAAGGGTATGATCAGCTGTTTCAAATGCTGCTGAGAAACCAATTAAGAGGAGAACTAAGAAACTGGCTATTGCATCGATCAAAGGGGAGACATTTGGTGGCCCCTGTGGTATAAACACTTGATTAGAGTGGGTTTCAAAAGAAATGGGAGGAGACAAATTAGTGATGTACAGCTCTTTGAAAGCTTTTGTTTGAAATGGGAGCAGAAATGTAGACATTGGTTAGAGGAGTATATTGTATCACATGAGGTTTTATTTATTGTTTTAAATGGGAGATATTACAGCACCTTTGATGTTGACACTGATGAAAGAGACGGGGAAAAGTCAATGTGGAATGACAGAGAAATTTGCAAGAGCGGTGTCCTTGAATAGGTGAGAAAGGATAAGAACGTTTGTGTAGGTGGAGGGATTTCTTTTGGATAAGGACATGGGAAGGAGGTTGGTGAATGCTAGAAGTTAACCTTTGTGAAGGAAGAGGTTCTGTATTTTGTGAACTGATCTCTGCTCTGCCCAGTACATGGAAGGTGATCAGTAAATATTTGTGGATGCCTGATACAGAGGCAAGTCATGTGAGCAGGTGATGGCTGATGGGAAGCAAGATTCTAGATGAATGCATGCACAGAGAGATTGCTGGATGTTTGGGGAGATCAAGGAATGAGACTGTGAAAGGGCTGGAGGTGAATGACAGAGTTACCATGCAGTGTGCAAGGCCCACCTTGAATTTATACGATGGATTTAAGGGGAGTCCACTTGGTTATGGGTTTTTCTCTAAAATGTCTAACAGAGTTGATATAGGTACAGAGTAGGCAGTATGTGATTTCAATGAAAGACTAGTGATTTTCAAATACAGGAAGAGGAGAGGGAGAAAGTGAGCACACATGTACAAAGAGATGAGTTTAGAGCTGAATTATGAAATCTCATTTGGATGGAGGGGAATAAAGATTTGATTGGAAAGTAGAGATCAATGAAATACTTCTTGCTTCCCATTCCCCAGATGAAGTTTCCCGTCCTCTCCCATATGCAGTTCCTCCTTCCTGGGCTTAGTAAGAGCTCCATCTTCCAACCAGCTCCTCAGGCCAGTCACCTAATGATCCAGTTGAGTTTCTTTTCTTTCTTTTGCATTCCATCTTGCATTACCAAGTCTGATTTATTCTGTACAGATCCACATACTTCTCTTAATCTTCTCATTACTATTTTAGGCCAATCCTTCCCTCATGTAAGTGTTTTTGGCTGTGCTCTTCTTCTTGGCTGTGCTCTTCTTCTTTGCAAATAAATTCTACATGAGGTAACAAAAGGTAAACTTTAGAAGGTAATTTGTATCAACATATTTCCATGTTATTTATTTATTTATTTATTTATTTTGGCAGAACTGAGGATTGAACTCAGGCCCTTGCACTTGCCAGGGAAGCACTTATTCCTCTGAGCCATCTCCCAGGCCCCATGTTTTTTTTAATTGTTTTTTGTGTAATATACCAACATCTCAAAAGCTCATCAGCTTATTTTATTTTACTTATTTATTTTGGTACAGGGTCTCACTACACAGCTTGGAGTCCTAGTGATCCTCCTGTTTTCAGCTTTCCCAGCACTGGGATTACAGGCACATACTATCATGCCTGGTCTTAGTGGCTGGCTCAGCATGCCAAGGGGCAGGGCCAGCACAGCATGTGGTTCTGGGGATTGAACGCTGGTCCCTGTGCTTGCCTAAGCAGGTGCTTAGTCTGCTTAGCTATCTCACCAGCCCTCAAAAGCCCATCTGTAATATGGCTGTTGTCCCCCTCTGTAACCTTACTCTCCTTTCTGTTCTCCTCCTCATTTTTAACTGCAATTTAGTCACCTTGCCTTCTTCTATTTCTTAGGTTTTTCCTAATTTCAACCCCAGGCTGTTGTCCCAAAATAGTCCTTCCATACTTAGATCTATAGCCTGGCTCACACCTACACATTCTGCAGTCTCAGCTTTCATTTCTTTTACTAGAAGATCTTTGCTTGGCAAACAGTTTCTTCTGTCTATCACTTTCATTTACTTTTCCCTTTTATAATTTTATATTCTTTAAATATTTAACCTCTTTCTATTGTCCCTGACTTTAATTTCTCTATTTTTAGCCTTGTATAACCCTACTAGCATAGAACCAGGATCATACTAAGTACACAAAAAGATTTATATAATAAAAAATGGCAATGTCTATGCCAAGAGGCATCTTAGACATGTACTTTCCCATTCTTTCCCTGAAACCCACTGTAGTGAAAATAAAGCAATGAAAATTAGAAAATTATAATAACAAGGAAGAGAAAAAGTGACAGAAATGAATGAAATATATATATATATATATATATATATATATACACACACACACACACACACAAATTTTTGGAAGATGACAAATAGATGGGAGATAGGTAATTGATTTAATGAAATGAAGCAAGCAGAAAATACTGCTTTGTCAGGATGAACTACAACAAATTATCTACTCATCTCTGAAGAATCATGCAAAGTTTCTAATGTATAAGAAGTTAGATTCATCAGTCTAAGCACCTGCCCGGAAAGGATCTGAGTTTGATCCTTCGTACTGCATGCCATGCCAGTCCTGCAACTGTCCAAGTTGCGTAGTGAGCCTCTGTATCAAATAAGTAAATAAGTAGATAAATAGATAGATAGATAGATAGATAGATAGATAGGAGAAAAAGAAGCTAGATTCATACCCTTCTGACTAGAGAGTTAGAGAGATCGTCTCTGGAGGAGCATGCCTAGAAGAAAAGATATAACTATATGTTCACGGGGGAAGGGACCTAAAATAAAAGTGTATCATCATAAAGTGAAGCCTATTTCTAACAATCAGAGCTTTTATTATTTGATTTTCATTATGAATGGACAGCCAAAGATCAATGAACAGCATGGAATGCTGAGACCATAAAAATGCCACGTACTAAGACTGTAGAAAATAAAGTGATATGGAGGAAACAGATGATCCAAAGACTAGAAAAAGTAATAGAAGATACCACATCTAGAAAATGAAAAAAGAGATACTTCAAAAAGAGACAGAATAAAAGAATTTAAAAACTAATGGGATCCATATTAAAACTAAGCAGAAGGGACCCATGTTGACAGTGAAGTCAAGGACTGTGCCTAGAAAGTGGAGGAAAAGATTAAATTCACAAGCAGAGGCCTTGAGTGCTTGCTTCAGTAGCACTTGTACCAAAATTAGAATACAGGGAAAATTAGCATGGCTGTTGTGCATGAATTATATGTATATTTGTGAGATGTTCTCTATTTTTGGAATACCTCTACAAAAACATTATAGTACTCTGAAAAAGGAGACTGAAGACAAGGTGAGAAAATGCCACAATGTTCTCTGTTCCTGAAACAGAGAACATAAACAGAAGCAATATTGTCAAAATGGTCATACTCCCAAAACTGTTATGAAGGTTGAATGCAATCCCAGTCAAAATACCAACAGCATGCTTAACAGATCTAAAGAAAAAAAGTCCTAAAATTCACATAGAACCAGAAGAGACCCAGAATAGCAAAAGCAATCGTGAGCACCCAGAGCAAAGAAGGAGGCTTTGCAATACCTGACTTCATTCTGTATTACAAAACTACAGTGATAAAACAGCATGGTCAGCAGAACAAATAGAGGGTACAGAAACACTCCCCCTTATACTAAGCTGTTTGAGCTTTGACAAAGGTGCAAAAGCAGCTGATATTGAGCAAATGGTATTGAGAAAACTAAACTGTAGAAGATTGAAAGTAGACCCATATCTTTCATAATGTACTAAATTAAAATAAAAATGGATCAAACATCTGAATATTAAAACAGAAACACTGAACTTACTGGAAGATAAAATAGGTAAAATACCTGAAGCAAAGGTTCAGGAAAGGATTTCTAAATAGTACTGCATTTACCTAAGAAATAGCAGCAAGAATCAACAACCAGGAGTCTATCAGACTAAAAATAAAATCATTATAGTAAAAGAATCAATAAATAAAGTGAAAGACAACCTGCAGAATGGGAAAAATATTACCTGTTATTCTTATGACAGAGGACTAATATCTAAAATATATGAAGAACTAAAATAATTGTACCAGTTAAAATGAAAAATCTAGTAAAAAATGCACAGGAGAAATAAGCATACACTCCTCGGAGGAAGAATAAATGGTCAAAAATGCATGAAAAAATTCTCAACATCTTTGACTATTAGAAAGATGCAAAAAAAAAGAAAGATGCAAATGAAAATAATGCTAAGTGCCTATCTTTTCCATATTTCTCCAAAAAGAATGGGCATTATCATGAAATAAAAAATAAATGCTGACATGGCTATGGTGAAAAAGGAACCTTCTTACATTATTGGTGGGGATCTAAACTAATACAACCATTATTGAAATTAGTTTGGAGATTTCTCAAAGAACTAAAGATAGAAATCCCAAACTACCCAGCTATCTTCCTTCCAGGTATCTTCCTCAAAGAGTTTAAGACATCAGTCAGTGATGTATGAGTACCAATGATAGCAGCACAGTTCACAATAGCTAAATCCTGGAGGCAGTCTGTATACCCAATAACAACCAACTGCATAAATAAAATGTGATAACTATATAATAGAGTACTTCTCAGTTATAAAGAAGGACAAATTTGAGACATTTAGAGGAACTTTGATACACCTGCAAAGTATAACTTTGAATGAAATGAATCAGGCCCACGGGCTTGTATACCATGTGATATCTCTTGTTTTTTTTTTTTTTTTTGGGGGGGGGCAAAGTACAAACCAAGAGAAAAATAAAGGAAGAATAGAAGGATACCAGGGAATAGATCTCTATTCTATTGGGAAGGAGTCCAGGGGACCAGGGTGAGGGACAAGGGGCCGGGTTTGGGGAAATAGGTAGAGTGAAAGTGTGCCATGTAAGGAATCTTAATAACTTTAGTGAATGTGGCTGCTCATTACAAACATGAAATAAGGTTATTAACACCAACAAGAATAAAGAGAGAATGGGAATTAGAGAAGGAAGGAGGGAGGGAAAGAAAGGGGGTTAAAAAAAAAAACCAAAACAAGAAACCAGCTGTATCATGTATGTGCTTCAACTCCTTGAGATGACTGTAAAATGCAAACATGCACTAGTAAATTTTAAAAAATAGTGAATATTTATGTGCTCTATATATTGTTTTAAATTTTGTTCATTTTGGAGTTTAAATGAAAATTTCTACCAAACATCTGTGGCTATAGAACTTCAAAAAGAAATCTAAGTGTAGGTAGGGGTTATAGATGTACATTTTGACAGGCGCTTATGCCCCTGATCTAGCTCCCCAGCCCTTATATGTACATTCAGCGGAGAAGAATAACTCCTGTCTTCATATCTGTAAGGTTATTTCATCTGCTTCCAGGAGCTCTGAAGATACAATTTTAAAAATATATTTATGGCCTTTCGGCTGGAACCGCCATCTTCCAGGAATTTGCCAAAATCACTAACACAAAGGGCAAGAGGAGGGGAACCCGGTATATGTTTTCCAGACCTTTTAGAAAACATGGGGTTGTTCCTTTGGCTACATACATGCGAATCTACAAAAAGGGTGATATTGTAGACATCAAGGGAATGGGTACTGTGCAAAAAGGAATGCCTCACAAATGTTACCATGGCAAAACGGGAAGAATCTACAACATTACCCAGCATGCTGTTGGCATTGTTGTAAACAAGCAAGTTAAGGGCAAGATACTTGCCAAGAGGATTAATGTGCGTATTGAGCATATTAAACACTCAAAAAGTCGGGATAGCTTCCTGAAACGTGTCAAGGAAAATGATCAGAAAAAGAAGGAAGCCAAAGAGAAAGGTACCTGTGTTCAGCTGAAACGCCAGCCTGCCCTCCCAGAGAAGCACACTTTGTGAGGACCAATGGAAAGGAACCCGAGTTGTTGGAACCCATTCCCTATGAATTCATGGCATAAACTGGGGACGTTGCTCTGCCATTCAGTACCTAATTGGCAGCTTAAGTGTTCTAGGTCCCATGTAAAAATAAAATCATCCTGTGTTGTAAGGGTGGTTTTCTTAGTTGAACAGGTATGTGGTGCCTTCTTACCTCAGAAATATTTGCAGCAGATTTTCACTGTACCCAGTAATTGTGTCTAGCCTTTACTCTTCAGTATTTTTTTGCTGAAAGATACTGCTGAGGTATTGCGCAGGTGTATACCCAAAAATTTAAATATTTATAAAGTATTTATATTGGCTTGAAGATCCTGTAAATCATCATGGGGAAAAGATGTATCAAAATAAATGGAAGTCACTTCAGAAACAAACTTAAGTCCATTTCAGTTAAATAAATTGTTTAAAGCAAAAAAAAAATAAATTAAAAAAATATATTTATGTATTTGGTACAGCTTGGACTCATAGTGATCCTCTTGTTTTCAGCTTCCCTAGTGCTGGGATTACAGGCATGCACCACCATACCTGGTCTATGGCTCAGCATGCCCAGGGGCAGGGCTGGTATGGCATGTGGTGCTAGCGATTGAACCCTGGTCCCTGTGCTTGCCTAAGTAGGCACTTAGTCTGCTAAGCTATCTCGCTGGCCCACAAGTTTTTTTCTTTAACTTCTCAATCATGACTATAGCTATGTCATTTCCTTAAAAAATGACCAAATTAGAGACCTGGTACAGAAATTGGGGAATGAAGCAACACAATAGGATTTTTCAGAAAGATGAGAGTATTTTTTCCAATAATACAAGAACTGCCTTTCAAAAAAGAAGAAATATAGATCCCTATATTGTAAAAGTTCACTAAATCCCTAAAACCATTGCTAGAATAGGGACATGTTCTCATGACAGGAATGAGGAGGAAAACTGAAGACCACCCAGAGTGGAAAGCATAAATCACAAAGCATGAGAAACTAAGACGGCATTCTTTAATAGCAACATTAAAATCAATCCAGAAGATAATAGAGCCAAGCCTTCAAAATTTTGAAAGGAAGGAAATGATTTTCAACATAGAATTGTGTCCCCCAGGAGACTCATAAAGAAGGAATGAGGTACAGCAAAATCACAAGGCTTCAGATATGCAAATGTTCACAGGATCTACATCTCATGCTTCTTGGAAGTTATTACAAGATATGGGGCACATGAAACAGGAAATACAGTGCAAGAAAGTGGTAAGGAAATTTTCAGTTGGACAGGAAAGAAAAACCAAGAATGTCTGCTCTTGGAAAGGTTAGAGAGAGCAGTGGGCCAATCTGGTGCAAGAGGCAGAGTCAAAGATGCAATTAGTGAATGTGCCCATAAATTTGAAGCTACAAAACATAACACTGAGGAATTTTGAGAGAATGTCCGACTTCCTCGCCATTGGTGCCTAGAATGCTAAGTGGATCCCAGGGAAAGTTAAAGGGTCTATGACAGAAGAAATATAACCAAGCTTAATACTTACCACACTATTGAACAGGATTTAGCAGTCATAATAATGTATGTCATAAATGAAAGTTTATATCAGTGGAGTATAGAAAGGGTTAGTGGAAGAATAAGAAAGTACTGTGAAGGAGCTGAAGTCTCCTCTATCATGATGGAAAGTCAATGTATAGTTGTAAAAATTAAAATTGGGAATGTTATGGTTTGTGTCTAGGTGTCCCCTCAAAGCCTCATGCAATCATTGGGCGGACTTCTAGAGTTTGTGATTAACTCATGATCCACTGGGATTACGGGTGAGAGTGCTGTTGGGATTATGAGTGTGAATACTACTCCCAGTCTGGGGCAGATCAACTGAATGCAACTTAAGGGAAACAGACTTGCTCTCTGTAGCCGCTGCTGCTGCTACTCCTCCCTTTTGCTCTCAGCTCTGCTGCCGCCATGAGCTGCTGCCCTCTGCCATGCGCCACTCTGCCTTGGAGCCAGCTGAGTATGGACTGAAACCTCCAGTAACCATAAGCTAAATCAACCTTTCTTTCCTTTATTTTGAGTGTCAGGTATTTGACCCAACAACAAGAGAAGAGTAACTAAGAGAGGGAAATAATAATGTTATTATTAAGCATAATCTTTAAAAGTTTTGAAAGAACAATAGCTAAATATGTTGAAAGTGTTTATTTCTGGGAAAGAGGATGATGGTGAGGAAGAGAGATATAAGTTATGGGTTGAGTATTCCTTGTGATGTATCTTTTAGCATTATTATATTTTAGTGTATGTTTATGACTTAGGTGTAAACATCAACTTCAGGAAAATTAAGAAAAAATAATTAATGAGCACCCAGAACAGAGGGCTTATGGAATCTTGGTCTGTTTGGGCATGTACAAGGGGTATAAGACAAAGTGAAT